TGTGTGTGTGTGTGTGTGTGTGTGTGTGTGTACATATATATATTTATACATATATATATATATATATATATATATATATATATATATATATATATATATATGTATATATATGTATGTATGTATATTGCTTAAGCGTAAATTCATATTGCTCTTACAAGCAATTCCGTGCATGAACTTACGGTATGCCGAGTTTCTTTAGGGATTGAATAAAAGAACACAGGATATAAGTAAAGTACATTTTTATTTTCAGATAAATATTTCCATTGTTATTTCAGAGGCACATCTTGAGAAAATGACCAAATAAAGGTAATGATGAATAAATAAGATAATAAAAATAATGATAACGATTATAATCCTGATAAATAAAGTTTAAAAAAAACAATATTTCGTAACTCATCAGGCTATGTGAAAAGAGAGCATGGGATAGGTAAGAGAAACGTCAGGATCCCCCCTCTCCCCAAACAAATAAAGAGAGAAAAAAATAACAAGAAGAGAGAGTATAACATTTACACAAGTAGCACCCACAATAACTGCTATTTCCATCTACCACTCTCTCTATCTTTAAGTGAAACGTGGGTTGTCGACCCCTAGAGTTTTCCCACGATAGGGTTTGAAGGGCGGTGCGGGGATCTTGGCTCATCAAAGAAAAATCTACTAAAAAAGACAACGGGGGGGAAGAAAGAAGAGGAAGGGTATTATACATCTTCTTTTTTATGGAATGGTTAAGACGCATATTGGTTAGGATTCGAAATAAAAGGATGAGACACATAGGATGTAGCTAGTGTTGCGTGGCTAAGAATGCAAAAAAATGGATTGAAGGATGGCGGTGTTAGATTTATCCCCCACATGTAACCTGATGTTGAAAATAAATCATAAGATATAAGTGAAAAAAAAAATAACAAGAATCGAAAAATAAGGAAAACAGAGAGAGAGAAAGGAAAAAAAATCAAACAGATGTACAAAACAGAAAAAATCACTCACGCTAATAAAGTGAGAACTATATCCATAATATTAATAACATAAACTAGAAAGTCTAAAGATATTAATCGCAATAAAGCGCTGCCTTATACCAGTATAAGATAAGAAAAAAATAACAAGAAAGCAAGAGACTAAACATCAAATGATAATCTTCATTACAACAGAAATGAGAAATAAAAATCACAATCAAAATAAAAAAGATCACAGTGAAAGAAAAGTGATTAAAGAAAGATAGATAGATCGAGCGAGCGAGCGAGAGAAAGAGGGAGAAAAAGAGAGAAAGAGAAAGAGAGAGAGAGAGGACGCAAGCTTGGAGGATACAGACAGAACGAGAATGTATTACAAAGACGACGAAGTCTCAGCTTCCTGAAGGCTTTATCCAGTCATCATCTCCATGAACTCTATAAACGGAAAATTTGGCCGTTAGCGAGGAGGGAAGCGTGAGAGAGTGCGATGAAATGAGTGATTGGGAAGGAGAGGAAGAGAGAGAAAGGCTGATTTATAAGTATAGAGAGATTGAGATGAAGATATAGATGGAGATAGAGAGAGAGAGAGAGAGAAAGAGAGGAGAGAGAGAGAGAGAGAGGGAGAGAGAGAGGAGAGAGAGAGAGAGAGTGGGTGAGAAAGAGAAAGAGGAAGAGAAAGAGAGAGAGAAAGAGAGAGAGAAAGAGAGAGAGAGAGAAAGGGAGAGGAGAGAGAGAAAGAGAGAGAGAGAGAAAGAGAAAGAAAGAGAAAGAGAGAGAGAGAGGACGCAAGCTTGGAGGATACAGACAGAACGAGAATGTATTACAAAGACGACGAAGTCTCAGCTTCCTGAAGGCTTTATCCAGTCATCATCTCCATGAACTCTATAAACGGAAAATTTGGCCGTTAGCGAGAAGGGAAGCGTGAGAGAGTGCGATGAAATGAGTGTTTGGGAAGGAGAGGAAGAGAGAGAAAGGCTGATTTATAAGTAGAGAGAGATTGAGATGAAGATATAGATGGAGAGAGAGAGAGAGAGAGGGAGAGAGAGAGAGAGAAAGGGAGAGGAGAGAGAGAAAGAGAGAGAGAGAGAGAGAAAGAGAAAGAAAGAGAAAGAGAGAGAGAGAGAGAGGGAGAGAGAGAGGAGAGAGAGAGAGAAAAAAAAAAAGGAGAGAGAGAAAGAAAGAAAAGAGTGAGAGATGCCCTTGAGAAGATGTAGAATAAGAAGAAAAACAAAATGCGGCAAGTCTGGCACGCCGCGTAAATAAAAGAGAGAAAACAAAGAAAATACAAATAAATCAATAAATATACAATTAAGAATGCTTTCCCATTCAGTCCACTTAAATGGGAAAGATCACAGAGCATAGCATAGCACAAATTGAAATAAGATAAATTATACATAATATTTCAAAATCGAATGCAGAGAAACACAGTACTGTCTTTCAATATCAACATAAGAAATATATACTGAAAAAATTGAGCCAAAGAATTCTGAATATAGCCATTGACTTGCGAAATAAAGGTAATGCGAAATTGATAATTTTATGTGAATTAAAAGACGTACTGTATTACCTAAAATTGGTTATAGACATATTGCAAGAACGGCTGAAAGTAAAAGAAAAATATGCTGATTATGTTAATTAACACCTGCTGATTATGCAAAGGAAAACAAGGCAAAACTGAAACAAAAGAATGTTGCCGATACACTGAGAGCTAACTTTAATCTAGATGCAGTGTTGGTCCCCCGGATTACATACAATTAGAAGGCGACGTTTGTGGTGAAAATGTTCAGAGCATTCGTTGTTGGTTCAAAACCCCTTGGAAGAGTTTAGGGGATTGCTTTTGTTGCCGCCAAAGAGCCATGTCATGTATAAGATTCGTATATATCTAACTTACCAAACATATTTCAGAACGTGAGTGTACAGACATACACACACACAAATTCACACACACGCACACACATACATACACACACACACACACAAACACACGCAAGCATATATATATATA